TATCAAGATGATTTCGTTTTCTTTTTGTAGATTGAACATTAAAATTTTATGAGAAATATTTTCTTATATTCACTCAAGAAATGTTAAAATGAGTTTTTAATTCTTTTTTTAAAAAATAAACTTACATTTTGCCAATCTTTTTTCATTTTTTCCATAGCTTTTTCTAATGAAAATTCTTTTGATGCTGCTTCACTTATTTGTTCAAGTTTCGGTATATGTTGTAAAATATCCATTTCAATAATTTTATTTAAATTCGTATCATCATCAGGTTTAAATGGTTGTCCAATAATTAATGATATTTGTTCCCAATGACGATCACGTAAACCAGGATTAAATAATGTTTGTATTAATGGCATTTTTTCTTTAAATTCTCCAACTTGTACACGTAAACGATTAGCCATTTTACGTGGTTGTGGATTATTATTAAATTGTCTTTCAAGTTTAAATAATTGTCGTTCATAATTACCAACATCTTGTTCAACTTGATCTGGTTGAACTTTATCTCTTGGACCTTCTGTCCATTCACTATTGAAAATTAATGAAGAGAAAAAAAAAGGATTTTTATTTTTAAATCTAATCAAACAAAATTTAAATACATACATAAGTTTATTAGTAAATTCAACACCTGTTTCATATAATTTTAAATAAGGTTGTAATAGATTTAATGTTTGTTGACGAAGTGGATAACTTGTTGTATCCCATTTGAATGCTTCTTCTTCAACATTAAATTGTTCAATCTATTTAAAAAACATAAAAATAATTTGATAAGAATTTTCTATTTTTTTTTTGTCTTTTTGTGAATTTAAAAAATGATTTACTCGTTCAGCAGCTTGTGTTAATTTTTGTTCTATATGTTGTGCTTTTTTATAATAACGTGGTAATTCTTTAATATTTCCCATTTCTTGAAGTTCTTCAACTTGTTTAGTATAATTTTCAAGTTCTTCAACAAAACGTTCACGTTTTAACTAGAAATATAAATATGTATATGAACAAAAAAATTTAAAAAAAAATCAACAATAAAATAATAAAAATATTTTACTATTAAAGCTTCTTTAAATTGTTCAGCTTTTTCTTTTGCAATAGTTGCATGTTCTTCAAATGCTGCTGGCATACGTTCAATCCATGAAAACATATTTGTATTTAAACGTAGATCAGCTGGTGGTAATTCAGTATTATCAAGTAAAAAAATTAATTCATCTTTAGCTTGTACAAGACGTTTTTCAAGATCAGGTATTGTTTGAGTTTTAGATTTTGTTAAAAATGCTATTATTTCCATTAATTCAGCTGTACTCATTGGTGTACGTACGGCTTGTTCAGCAATGCGTTCAAATTGTCCAATTAATCTAAGAAATAATTAAAAATTATTTATAACCTTTGAATGAACTCCGTTGAAGACAAACAAAAATTTTTCAAGATTAGGGATATAGGGGACAGAATGTTTTGAATCTAGAATGTCCTCATCAGGAAGTTAAGAATAGATGGAAGAAGGAGGGTGTGGAACAAATCATTTTGTGCTATTTACATAGTGCTTCTTGTTTCCAATTCATATTTTGCATTGTATAAAGTTAGTAGAATTCAGAAAAACTTCGAATCTTGTATTAAAAAGACGTGCATTTGAAGAAGCACTTCAATATTTGTTTTTAATTAACTTTGATTCTCGAAAGTAGAGGTTTCAATCTGCTGTACTGAAAAATTGAATAGAGATGAAGTAAAAGTGTTCTTCTTTACTTATAACAAAAGGAATACTATTTCAAATCATTGACAATGTAGGATTCAACATTCAATCTTACAAAATTCAATATTTTCTTAAGAACATTTTCTAAGTCTACTTCATTGTGAAAAAGCTTTTATTTACAGCCAAAGAATTTCCATAGCAGACAAAGGGGAACGGAGTACCGTAAAATTTTTAAAGCTGCTACTAAAGGCGGTTCCATAGAAGGGCTGAGGAAAGCTCAGCTTCCCTGGTCAAAAATCCTAAGGCTGCTCCTTATATTGGGGTCACCTCTGCTTTTTAGAGTGCTTTAAATATATATAGCCATCCTTTTATCATAGGTTTTATAGATAGGTCTAATATGTAACACATGAATGTTTACTATCGATGTCTAATTGATAAATTTGAATGTTAAAAAAAATAAATACTTACTCTTCACCCGATTCTCGATGATCTTTAACCATTCGTTCAAGTAAACGATTCATACAAGCTTCCGCTCGTTTAGCTAATGAACGTATTAAATCATTACAATGAATTTCAAACATTCCACGACGAACAACTTTTTCCAAATTATATGTTATTTCTTCAATTTTTCCTTTATATTTTCGTACTTCTTGTACATAATCATTAAATGAATGATCTTCATTTAAAAATTGTTCAACATCATTATCAGCCTAAAAACAAAAGAACTCAAATAAAAATTTTCTTCAATAAATTCAAACCTGTTTTGTTATTAGAACATCATATTGTTCAAATGTTGCAGCATGTTCACGTGGTCCTTCAAATTCTGTATGTAACATTTCACGTAAACGTCCTTTATGTGATTCAAGTATTGATGAAAGTATAACAGGAATTAAATATTGATTTTCACCTTGATTCTAATAATAGAAAATTTTTAATTTAGAAAAAAAGACAAAAAAAAACATACAATTGAACGATCAGAAAATAATTTTGCTTCAATTCTTGGTAAATTTGTACATTTAGCAATAATTAAATCATACATTGAAAGAAAAACTGTTTCAAAATCTGCAAATGATGGTTCAAATTTAATTTCATCTTCACTTAAAAACATATTAATAATAAAACCTACGACGAAATAGAAAAAAAATTCATAAATTTTTTTTTTTGTTTTTTTTATTATCAATAAATTAAATCTTCATACCACTATGTTCATAATTTCTAATTGATTCTGGTGGTGTTATAAGTAAATTTGTATAATCTTCAATTGTATGTAATGTTATATCTTGTAAACATTGTGTCATTAATGTTGCAACCGTATTAAAAAATGAACGAAATTTAGGATCATCTTGACTTGGAACAATACCACGTTTATGACCTTGATAAAATATTGTTTGAATATCACTAATCCATCTATTATAGAACAAAAAAATAAAATGATTTAATAAATAACTATTAATTTATACCGTTTAGCTAATTGTTCTCTTGCTGAATCCATATGTCGTTTACAAGTTGTATGAAAAGTTGAAAGTTCAATAGAATCATTTCGTTCACGAAATTCATCACAATCGATAACTTTTAATTTTCTATTAAAAAAAAAACAAACAAACAAAATTCGTTGTATTTTTTCTTTTTTTGTTATTTGAATATTAATTTTACTTGAATATATTTTTATGCCACATTGATAAAACTTGTGCCATAGCTGGATTAATTGAATGAAGATTTTTTTCAATAAATTTTTTTGCTTGAACAAATGAACCATGCCATGGTTTAGGTAAAACAGCTATTTCTTGACGATGTGGAAGAGTTTCTACTTTAACTTTTTCATCTGTTTCACGTGGATCACGAAGAACAAAATCAACTATTTTAAAAAAAAAAATTTACTATTTTCCAAATTTCTTTCTTCTTCTCTTCTATTTACCAATCGCCTTTTTAACACTTAATAGATAATCTTCTTTCATTTCATCTGTAAGTGAACTAACAAGTGGTTCCCAACTATGTCGTAAATCACTTGGAAGACGTGAAAGTGTATCATTTATACGATGATCATCTAACTCAGCAACATATTCTGTATCAATACCATTATGAACATAGAAATGATAACGCTAGAAATAAAAGAATAATATTATTCTAATAGATAAAAAAAACAAAAACAATGAATTTTCTTACTAAAATATCTTTTTCAACTGATGTTGGCATATCAGATACACCTGGTGTATTATCATTTCCATTTAAATATAAATTATTTAAATCATTTCCACTATCATTATCAGCATTTCTTTAAAATATAATAAAAAAAAAAACAAACAAACAGATTTTTTCTTTCTATTAGCATTTGTTCTTTTATTGTCTTACGTCACAATATCAACAAGTGCTTTACGAAAATCTTCACGTTGTTTTTTTGAATCAACTGTCTTACGATGCACAGCTTCAAGTGCTTTTGCATCAGGACTTCGAACAGGTGCTAGAAGTCGTTTTCGTTTTGGATCACCTATAGAATAAGAACATAGAAATTTGAAAAAATAATTTTCTATTATTGTATTATGAAATTTAAATATTCTATTTGTCTGTTTAATTTTATGAGAAAATATTATCTGTTATTTTATTTGATATGTTCTTGACAACCAATGTTATTTATTAATCTTATCCTTTTTCTTCTAATCCATTTGATTATAGATATTAGAAATATTGTTTACATTAGAAAATAATTTCAAATAAATATCTTATATTTTTTTTTTTGTTTTTTGTTTCTCTTAACAACAAACAAAACATACGTTCGACAAGTTCTTGTAGAAATCGTTCATTTTCTGTTGCTACTTCATTAAGTTTATTTTTTCCGGGAACAAATAATGGTGCTCGAGGCGTTGCCCATTGTGGCTTAACACGTACATTGGGTAATTGAGGTAAGAATTTCGCTGGATCATGTGTACCTTTTCCTTTGGTACCTTCACCACGAAGACCATGTCGATTCTATTATAATGATTACACAATACGAAAAAAAAATAAATAAGTTCAAATCAAGTACAAAAGAAAAAAACTTTACTTGTATATCGGCCATGATTCTGTGTAGAAATTTGATCAACACAGAAAATGAAATTGTATAAATGTATCTAATACCATTGTAGTTGTATTTACAAGTTTGATTACTAAGCAACAAATGTCCTCCAATAGATTTTAAGTAATAACAAAGAATGTATTTAAAATTTTTTTTATATTCTATGAAAAATTCTTTCTTTTTATTAGAAAATATTATTTTGGAAAAATTTTTATTTAAATATTTTTTTTGTTATATAATGACATCTATTAAACAAATATAATTGATTTTATTTTTTTATACAATTGATGATGGATCAAATAGTATGAAACAATCAATACAACATGTAAAATTATTATTGAAAATTTTTTTCTTATCTAATTTTTTATATTTATTTATTGTTGATGATGATAATGATGATTCGAAATCAGTTGTTTCATTTTGTTTTATTATCATATTATTTGTAAATGATGTTGTTATTGTTGTTGATGAACGTCGTAATAAATTTAATGAAATAAAACAAATATTATTATGATGATAATTTATTTGACGTTGACATTTTGAACAAATACGTTGTAAACATATTTCACAACGAAAACTTGTTTTTAATAAAGAAAATTTTACTTTTCGACATGAAAAACATATATGACCATTAACAACATTTTTATATAAATTAAAATCATAAAGTAATGTTGCAAATTCACTATTTGTTTGAACATTTCTTATATAAGATAATTCATCAAAATTTAATGCAACATAGAGATTTTTTTTAATTGATTGTCGTATATCAATTGATGTTGGAAGAGAAGATGTAATATCTTGTATATTAATATTAGATGATGATGAAGAAATAAGAATCTCATTACTAGTTAATTCAGTATCATCATCATCATCATCATCGATTAAAATTGGTTGAACACGTTTACGTCCAGGCGTCGACATCAATATCCTTCCTCTGTTTTGTTTACTTGGCGCGAATCAATAAAATGTTTTGAATTTACTGTATAAATAGATATATACTTATAGAACGAAAGAGAGTAGAAAATAAATGATCATTTTCTTTATAACATTCGTCCAACATGTATGAAAACAATTAGTAACAAAATCTTACAAAACCTAAGATGAAATAATGTCAGAAAGGTATTAAATAGAAAATGTTACGAGATTAT